CTAAGGGGTTCATACTTCTTCCACCTAGGTCAACGGGATACCAATTCAACTAGCATGCAATATATAAGACTCATAACCTACGAACGGTACCCGAAACATCAAACTAGACACGGCACGATGAACGGAGTCCGTTGGGACACCACGGGGATCGGGGAAACATCAAACGGGGAAGCCGGGGTCCCGAATGGGGGAGATTTCCAGCGGGTAGCCGATGGGTGGGGGGGCTACCCGCCGACTGCCCGCCGGCAAGCACTGTTCCGGGCAGCGGGTCGCCGGCGGGCAGCTGCCCGCCCGCCGGCTGCCCGCTGCCGGAGACGCCCCTTCTGGCCGCGGGTAGGTGGCGGGTCCCCTACCCCCCACTGACTCTTTTTCACCAAAAACGCCCCGGGAACCATTGTGGAACCCGAAACCATGCTTAGAAACTTTACAACGCAATTAACGATCAACACGTAGACAATTAACGGATCAAATACGAGAAACGTATGGCACATAACCTATCATGCTTTTCTAAACATAATTGACACCCAAACATGCGATTTCCCCACCCGATACACCAAGAATAATATCATACGATACAACCTAGGGTTCTAATCACTTTTATACCAACAAGAATACGATTCGTCTTCTAATTACAAGATTCGGTAAGAATCTCGCATAAGCATCAAGAACATCACACAAGCATCAAGAACGCCAACAAGAACATCAACCTAGGGTTCTAATTACTTTTACATCAACAAGAATACGGTTCGTCTTCTAATTACAAGATTCGGTACAAATAACACATAAGCATCAAGAACGCCATACAATTATCAAGAACAACATATAATCATCAAGAACTCCACATAATCGTTAAGAACACCATAATTATCAAGAATCTCCCGATATCAAGATCACCCATGGAATTATCCCATCAATCATCAATAATAACATCACAAATCATCAATACACAATAATATGGGGAAATCCTACGGGGGAAATCATAGCTATGAAAATAGGTTTTGTTGAGACATGGGTTACCTCTTAGCCTTAATTAATTCCTTGGCTATGAAGGGTCTTTCTTTAAGCTTTCTTGCTTTCTTGATTTCTTCTAAGGGAATTCTTGGAGCTCTTTGGGGTGGTGAGTCGTTTATTGTGGTGGTGGGGGGGGGGGGGGGGGGTTCTAGGTGCCTCTTAAGTCCCCTATTTATATATTTAGGAGTCCTAATTAGGAACTAATATTATAGGCTTGCTAATTCTATTCCTTTTGGAACTAAGGATTGGGTTTAGGGATAAGGGTCCATGGTCCATAGTGGACCATATTAATTAATTAAAGAGAATCCTAATCATAATCTGAATAGTAAAAGGCCTACTTCCTTTATTCCTAATAGGCCTGAGACTCTTATTCAGGCAAGGGTCCACGGTTCATGGTGGACCTCATTAATTAATTAAAGGGAAACCTAACCGAATTAAATCATATTTAATTATTATTAACGGGATTAATTAAATAATTAATCCGGGATTGAAGGCCGTAACACGGGGTGTTACATTTGCTCTATGCTCTTTCAAGCTTAATTGCTCTATTCGTTCCCCTTTGATGGGTTCGAATTTTCTCAACTGCTCTATCTCTTTTCAAGTTCGTGTTATGCTCTTCTGCACTTCAAGTCTTCATATCTTCATCATTTTATAGCTGGTAATGAGAATCTGTCCGTTGGAAAGAGACGTTCTCATTTTTGAAATCTTGTATCTTTTTGTCAGAGATCTTATCTTATCTTCTGCAAAGATGTCAGAAAGGATAAGCTAGCCGTTGTTAGAGCTTCATCTCCATGTAAATGGGTTCTTGAACTTCATCTGATATTTCCTCTGGTTTTACGTTGAGTGGAAATATCTGGGTGTAGAACTGTTTCTCTGATTAGCTCTGAAGTGGTCCTTGTATCTTTGGGATTTAAATATATTCATCAATTTAATCCCATACTAGTTAAGCTAGTATTTTTCCTTGTGAGAATATTTTCACTGTAAGTTCATCTTCATCTTCTTCATTCTCACGTCTGGGTGTTCTCAGACTTCAAACTGGCTTTGAACTTCTACCCAATTTGAATTTCTCCTTTGTAATTGACACCCAATTTCAATTGGCTTGTAATTGGCACCCAATTTGAATTTCTCCATTGTAATTGGCTCCCAATTGACTTTGACTTGCAATTGGCTCCCAAACTGCTCCTGGTGCTTTCAATTGCTTCCCAATTTGAATTGTTGACTTTGACTTCGAAATTGGCTCCCAGACTTCTCCTGGTATTGAATTTCATCTCAATTCAATTTGATCTCCATGTCTTCTTTGAATCAGTCCCCAACTTGAAATTGCATCCCATACTACAATTTTCAATTCTACATTGGCTCCCATCTTGAATTGATTCCCAATTTCAATTGAGGACCGACTTGAAATTGCATCCCATACTACAATTTTCAATTCTACATTGGCTCCCATCTTGAATTGATTCCCAATTTCAATTGCTTCGAACTAGCTCCCAATTTCAATTGCTTCGAACTAGCTCCCAATTTCAATTGCTATGAAATCGGCTCCCAATTTCAATTTCTATGAAATCGGCTCCCAAGTGCAATTGCATCTCAATTGCCACCCAAGTGAAATTGCTTCCCAATTTCCACTTGTAATCGGCGCCCAAAGCTTAAACTAGCGCCCATCCCAATTTCAATTGCTTCGAACTAGCTCCCAATTTCAATTGCTTCGAACTAGCTCCCAATTTCAATTGCTATGAAATCGGCTCCCAATTTCAATTTCTATGAAATCGGCTCCCAAGTGCAATTGCATCTCAATTGCCACCCAAGTGAAATTGCTTCCCAATTTCCACTTGTAATCGGCGCCCAAAGCTTAAACTAGCGCCCAACTCCATCAGATTAATTTAATTTGGCTTCTCAAATTTTACCTTGTAAAATTATTGATGGTGAGTTTTGAACTTGAGCCATTTCACATGGCATATCAAGCATCATCCACTTCTTCCGTACAGTTTTTAATTAAATCTCCAATCACATTTGATGTACTCCTTTCTTTCCATAGATGCTTGATCTCCAAGTCAATTTCATGCATTCTTCCAACATTAATTTTCTTCACGAAAATTCTTCTGGGATATCTTCTTTGAGTAGCATTGACGTGATTTCATATCATTCATCTTCTTCTTCAATTTGTCATTTTCTCCAGACAAATTCTTGATTTTAGGCTTTATATATTCTTCTTCTATTTTTCATCCATCTTCCTCTGTTTTTCTCTTTTCATAATTAAATAATTTCCCGATCTTGGTCTAAGACTCTACTAGACCTATAAAATAAAATTGGGGGATCTACAAATACAAATTTGGCATATCAAAACCATTACCTTTATTCCTAACACACTGGACTTGGTACAGTCCCGGTTTTAACAGATCCGTTTGCAAGAGCCCTTACAAGGGACATGGTTCATCGGAAGGGATACGGAAAGCCTAAATTAAAATTGCAAGTGAAGGAAAGCTCAACTCACGTCTAAGTTATTACGTTAGACCTTGAGTTCAATGTAGATGAGTACTTCATTTTGTGATTTGCAAGCATCAAAAGTTTAATTAAAATTGTACCCAAAGAAAAGGTGATGCTTGGTTCTGCATTGTTGTAGGGATGAGTTTTTACTCTTAACTGATCTTTTGAAAAAATGCAAGATGCAGTGCATGAGATAAAAGATTAGCCTCTGTGACCATGAAGTGTGGCCGCTTCAAACAAGTTTGGGCTTTACTTGGTATGTGCTCATTAAAGGATACGGACACATGGCCATAATAGTGTCAAGTTACAGTGAGTTGTAATGACTATAAAACTTGTGTGTGTTATATCTACGTTTCTTCAAAGAGACTGCGTGATTCAAGGTTCGTCCATCACTGCAATCCGAATTAATGTAACGCATATAATACTATGTGAAAGTTCAATCTCTAAGACACTTTCATTTATGCATGAGTTTTGGATTTATCTTGGTAAAGTATTAGTCTTTACTATATAAATGGAGGAGGAATGTTGGAAATTTATATAGTAATGGAGATTAATGTTTCAGATGAACTACCATGAAAGCTTAAATAATATTTGGAGTTGTGGAGTTGTAAATATTATTTTAGTTTGGTAGAAAGTTAATTAAAATACTGGGAGAAATGTATATAGCTAATATGCTTGAGAGTATATAGCTATATGCTTGTGATATATAGCTAATATGCTTGAGAGTTATAGCTAATATGCTTGAGAGTATTAATGCATGTTTGGATATTTTCATGTGTAAGGTTTTGGGGCATTTTGAAGCTATATGCTTCAAAACTACACTTAACGTGCTTGGAATATGCACTTAACATGCTTAGAATATGCTCTTCTATTTATGCATTTTAAAGCTATATGCTTCAAAGTTACACTTAACATGCTTGGTATATGTAGTTGTATGCTTGAGATTATTGAACTACATATGGATATTATTTATATTTATTCTTTGCATGTTTTCATGCGTAAGGAATATATAAATATATATATATATATATATATATATATATATATATATATATATATATATATATATATATATATATATATATATATATATATATATATATATATATGTATATAATTTTGCATACAGTTACTGACTCAAAATAATTTTATTATTTCTCCAGTGATAGATATATCAATCAGGATATATCTTATTTTATGGAAGTTGAGTTTTAAATCACAGCAACTTCCATGTAACTTCTCCAAACAGATATATTTTTCATCTATAAATATATTGGAGAAACATCTTATAGGAAAATGCAATTTACATGCATATTTTATAAGCAATTATTTTGCAGGAAACCAAGATACTTCACAGGCTTACATCTCTACAGGGAATTCTCAAGCAAAGCAACTTGAGAATTTCATTCATCTTCTTGTATCCCATAAGATTAAATCTTGAACCTCGTTGCTTTTATAGAGGGAGGTTTAAAGCTTATAGGAATGTGATTACACGCCTGAAGATATCAAATGATCCAGTTTTTATTCCCTGTTGTATTCTGTATTATTGTTGTATCTCAAATGTATTACAGATTACAAGCACTTTTTCCATCATGCAACCTGCAGTGCATAAAATGAATAAACGGTTAGCACTTCAGATACAGTTTTTCTCAACTTCACTTCTCAGAGCTGCAAGTAACTTACCCAGTGCCACCAATCTCTTAATTTTCTGCACAAAACAGTTACCCACGCTAGTATTGTATCCAAGTGCCACTCGTGTAACAGGAGGAATTGCCTATGGAAGTGAAATAAATAAAATAATAAGGCATTGCCTGTTAGCAATTTAGCAATGAAGAGAAAAGCACAAGTGTCTAAATCAGTATCCAAAAATAGCCAAAACTCAAAGTATCCAGAATCAAGCACAAAATGTCAGCACATTTACAACAACAAATCATAAACTAAGTAACACATACAACAGATGGCATGCTACTCCATAACTTCTTTTTTTTTTTTAACCTTCAATAAAAACTTTTAATGTAACTATTAAATATATAAATTTTATATTTACTGATAAAATTAGATATCACTTTAAACTTTGTTTAACATATATGTAGTAAAGCAAATTCACTTCTGTCATCAACATAAAATGGGGAATAGGATTAAAATTTATAAAATTAAAAATATATACACAATTATTCTTAAAATTTCGAAATATACATAATAATAATTTATAAAATTCAAAAAATATAAAAAAAACTAATTAAATATTACATATAAATAAATAAATAAATAAATATATATATATATATATATATATATATATATATATATATATATATATATATATATATATATATTACGTACCGGACGAAGACAGGGCCGGCGGCGAGGAACGAGCGGGGCCGGAGAGCAGGGACGACGGCGTCGGAGAGCAGGGAAGGCGGCGTCAGATCTGAGGCGGCGAGGCACGAGCGGGGATGGAGAGCAGGGGCTGCTTCGCTGCTGCGTCGAAGTTGTGGCGGCTGCGTCGAAGAGCAGTGCGACGGCGTCAATCTTTGGCGGCGGCGGCTGGGGACGAAAATAGGGGGCGTGGCGGTGTGGTGCTGTGGTGGAGGAGGTGTGGTGAGGCGATGATGAATTGTTTTTGTTTGAAATGAATTGCCGACGTCGCCTCTTGGCTTTGCTATAATAGAAAATATTCGCGAAAAGGAATATACGACGTCGGCTATATACTTAGCCAGCGTCGTATACCCAATATTTTTTTTATTCCTTATATGGCGTCGGTTATTTACATAACCGATGCCGTATGTTATTTAAATACTTAATATTTTTTTTATTATTTTCTTATTCCTTATACGGCGTCGATTATTTACATAACCGACGCAGTATGTTATTTAAATACTTAATTTTTTTTATTTAAATACCATACGACGTCGACTAAGTAATTAGCCGGCGTCGTATGTTATTTAAATTTTATTTTTTTAAAACTAGTTTACGACGTTGGTCAATTACTCCGGTCGACGTCGTAACTATTTTAATTTTTTTTTTTTTAATTTCGACTATATATGATGTCGGTTATTTGTTATAACCGACGTCATATGTATTTTTAAAAAAATAAAAAATAATTTTAAATATTTAACGTCGGATTTTCTAAAAACCGACGTTATAATGGTGACGTTAAATCCGTTTTCTGTAGTAGCTAGTGAAGGTTGGAACATGGCATAAGGTTGGAACTGTGAAACTTGTGACATGTAGTAGTCACTGTGGCATGTAGTTGCCAATGTGTGTATGTGTATTCTTTGCTAATGAGCATGTCTTGATGTATTTACTTTGTGATCAGTAGAATACATCTCGAGTTATATTGGTTACAGTTGGTATTCCTGTCTTGTTGTTGTCGTAAGGATGTTGATTTCCTTTTCCTTGAGAGTGTGAATGAGTCTTTGAAGTTGACTTCTCTCTATGGCTTTTGAAATGATATATATTGTATTCCGTTTCGAAAATGGTTTTGACTTATACTTATCTATATATGTTATTTAACGTGTATTGATGGGTTACCAGCAATGTTCGCTGACCGGGTGTTATCCCCATGTTATGTTTCCTTTGTTCTACAGGTTTTGAGTAGAAACCCGAGAGCGCTAGACTGGAGCTTTAGATAGTTTTATCCTTTGTCTAGACGCTGTGATTTGAGTGGCCTGTGTGCCTTGACTCTGTAGACTTGATGAATGGTTTAGTTTTTCCCGCCTGTGCATCTTTTAGTATTTAAGATGTGGCATAATGCCCCGTATAGACTTGCTTCCGCTTTTGTTTAATGGTTCATTAGATTGCTTTTCTCTTGCATTTAAGTTTTAAAAATATGGTAAAATCGGGGGTGTTACACTACATCTGTGTCTAAAAGGTGTAAAAATTTCTTTAAAAAGAAAAAAAAAAAAAACGAAAACACTTTCCGCTACACCTTATTCCAAAAGGTGTCTCGAAAAGTATAATTAATAAAATAATAAAAACAATTTCCGCTACACCTTCTTTTAAAAGGTGTCTCGAAAAGTATAACTATTAAAAAAACACTTTCCACAGCACCCACCACCAAGGGTGTAGCAGAAAGCACTCAAAAATAAAAAAAAATAAAAAAAAAAAAAAATATATATATATATATATATATATATATATATATATATATATATATATTATTTGCAGTTTAAACTACCCTACAACTATAAACAGTATAGTTTGCAATAACCTAATATGGTCGTGCCGGTGGCTAGTAACGACTATAATTCCTGCATCCGCTGGGCACTTGCTCAAAGTGGTGATGACAATAGAAATAGTCTCGTTTGTGCTAACGGTTACTTGGTGCACAATTTACCACTAGCTCATAGTGGTATTTATGGTATATAGCATTGCATTTCTTGACTTGATATTATTTTGCCTTCATAGCTTTGGTTTTTGCCATTGTGCCTCTTGTTTCGTTGTAGACCTGTGTGTCATTGTGTTTGCTTTAGGCATGTGTGTCATTGTGTTTACTTCAGACATGTTTGTCATTGTGTTTATTTTAGGCTTGTGTGCCATTGTGTCTACTTTAAGTTTGTGTGCCACTCCATTATCCTATATATGTGTGTCTTTGGCCTTTGGATCGATTTTGTCATTTTGGCCTACTCTAAGAGTTGTCGTTATACTGTCAATTTGTTTGCATAATTGGGGCATTATTAGTTTATCTCGCCTGGCTGTGCGTGTAGCCTTGGGCTTATGTTGCTAGCTATTTTGTGTTCGTGGATTGGGCAATGCCCTTTCTTGTTTTGTTTGACTAGGTTTAGTTTACTTTATGCCTAGGAATTTTGCCTAAACCATTTATGATATTTGTCTCAAGGGCTAAGTATTGGCAAATTAAAATTGTGTCTTTTTTACTTGGAAACTTGTTCATTTTGGGTGGACTTTTCCTGGTTTGAGGCCTACTCCCCTCGACTTTGTACATATTGATGTTTGGATTAATGAATTGATGATTTTCTTAAAAATAAAATGAATATTGACTTTGTTAGCATTAGTTAACTTAAACATTTTATTTTACCTAAACCATTTATGATATTTGCCTTAAGGGCTAAGATAGACAATTTTAGGCTAGTTTTGTAAACCAAGTTGGTCAGACAGTTGGCTTGATAACAATGTTGTTTGAAGTTCAGGAGTTGTTTATTGGTCTAACCAGCAACAACCTAGGTTAGCTTATTTCCTTGTAATCCTTTGCTGGTTAAGGTGGTAAAGCGGTTGCGAACTTTTTTTCTAAATTAAAGGATATTATGTGTTATACTAATTCAAATTTTTATTTGTTAATATTTAAAAGAACTTAATATTTTTTTTTGAAATAAAAAAGAAATTAATATGTTGGTGAATAAATTAATTACTTTTAAATATTAATAAAACAAATTCTATGTTGGCATGACACATTGCATCACATTATGTTGATGATTAATTTTAATAATATAATGTCAATGACTACTTTTAATTATATAGATCTTTTATAGTATAAGAGCAAAATTAGAGTATATTAAATAAATTTTATAAAACTATATAATAAACTTTGACATGCTTGCTAGTATTTATGTATGTCAACTTAATCATATCACAAGTAGTTCACAACTATGCTAGCTTAATATTTATGTATGTCAACTTAATCATATCACAAGCCCCTATTATTTTTAAAAAGGTTGCATATTTTTCTTTTTATTTGTGTTTTTGTTTAGGTAGTCATCACCTCCACCAGTCGTCCTGTTATATTCGTTTTGTCCACTTCCCAAATTTCCAGTCCACGATAGAGCAACATTGATGGAAAAAGGAAGCCATTCCGTGGTTGACATGTAATAAACAATTAACAAGATAAATAATTTCAAGGCCCGCATAAAAATCTGCATGCCAGGTCTCTTATATGGTACTCCCGCCATCTGTTTTACCTGTCTTATTTTCCTTTTTAATTTGTCCCTCTATCTAAAATTAAACATTACCATCAATGTATTTTTTTTAATTTATCCTTATGACTTTTACTTTCTTTATTGCTTTTATTTTCAAAAATAAAAAAAAGTGGGGGCATAATTAAACAACACCTAGGCTGTTTGGTAAAATAGTTGGCTTATCAACCAATTTTGACTTATTTGACCAATATAAATGTTTGGTTAATTAGAATTTTGTAACTCTAAAATGTTAAAATTCAAAAAGCTGCTCAAAACAACTTTTTTAATTAGCTTTTTTAGAAAAGAAATTATACCAAATTGCTATCAGCAGCTAATTTACTAAATACTTTTCTGCAATCAGCTAGTGCTGTCAATTAGTTATACCATCTAATTAACCTAATCAGCTAACCGCTAACAGTCATTTACCAAACAGGGTCATAGCTTTTATTTTAATTACTTAAAAAAACCTGCAAAAAGTAAATGAGAAAACCAATTATGACCCAGGGAGTATATATATATTATATATATAAGAGCTCAGAGGACTGAATTTCTCAAAGAGTTTATGTTATCCTATCCGGCTATCCCCTTAGATATATATGTAATTTGTGCATTTTTTTCATAGATATTCGTAAACTACGATGAAACTAACTCATGTTTTAGTTGGCTTATGACACAGGCAGACAATCAAACATCTATCTGATATATTACACGCCGGCCGGCCATATATCCAGCAGGAAGGAGATAAGAGTTTCTATATATATATATACTGTGTTTTGGAGCGTTAAGTTTGTAGAAATTAAAATTGAAGAAGATGAGATCAGAGAAATTGAGCATGGAGGATGTGGGAAGAAGAGAAGGCAAAGCGGGAGGAAAGAAAGCGCTAATCATCAAGACATGGGAAAGGTGCAAATCTTTAGGAGGTTTGGGGAAAAAACTTAACCATCACTGTAAGTTTAGAATGATGAAATCAAAGTCGTGGTCTCACGGGTTGAGAATAATGGAAAGATCGGAGAAAAGGATGGGAGTCGGAGCAGCAGCGCCGGAAGGATGGTTGTGGGTATGCGTAGGAGAAGAGAAGCAGAGGTTTCTGATCAAGACGGAGCACGTCAACCACCCGCTGTTCAGGGGGCTGCTGGAGGAAGCTGAATCGGAGTATGGGTACAGAAGCGATGGGCCTTTGATATTCCCCTGTGAAGTTGATCATTTCCTCCAGGTCTTGCGTGAAATGGAGTCATCTGATGACGATGATCCTACTTGTGAAAAGATCAATAATGGCCGTGGGTGCAGCAGCAGCTTTGCAAGAAATCGTAATCATACCTCCTACCATCTTCTCACCCCTCCACGCCAAAGACCGCCCTTATCAACTGATGACGTAAAGTTGTGACTGGCTTAGTTGGAACCTAGCTAATAATCTCTTCATGTGTACAAAATTAAACTAGTTAATTTCAATTTTTATTTTTAAATTGTTGTTCTTCAGGATTATTATTGATCGATTTCAAAATTAACCAAATTTGTACGAAAAGTATATGGAGTATATTTTTTTTTTTGGTGGAAACCACACATTGTGGTCCGGGTCTTAAGCTGGCTCAAAGGGAATAGTCACTTGTGGGAATCGAACCCGGGTTATCCCGGAATTCTCCCCCACAAAGAGAGCTCATTTGCCACTTGAGCTACCCTGTTGGGTTATATGGAGTATATTAGGACTCTATGTATTCTAGCCAGATTAGGTTAGTGTATCATAGTCTTGTTGTAATTCTTGTATTTATTTTGTGACTTTGTGATTATCCAGAATATTCAGTTCTCATCTGGTATCGGTTAGCTAGGATTTTTGCCATGACTGATCATTCTTTCGCTCATGACGGATCTGTTGGTTGATCTGAACGGACTGTCTCAGATATTGCTACTGTTTCTTCGACCATCTCACCAAATTTATTATCTACTGCTCACCACTTTGTGAGTATTAAACTTACGAACTGGAAGTTCTTGTTCTAGCGAACTCAACTTATTTCGTTTTTACGCGGTTAAAACCTACTGGGTTACGTAGATGGCTCTATTCCCTGTCCTCCGATGTTCTTGTCTCCTGTCGGCGATGGTTCCTCTGGTACGGTTGATGTTCCTAACCAAGCGTACAACCTTTGGGTGCAGCAGGACCAAGCCATATTATCCATGATTATTTCCTCCATCCCCGATGAAGTAATGCATTTGGCTATAGGAAGGAGCACCTCCATGGCCGTCTAGACTGCAATAGAGATGGCTTTAGCTTCCTCTTATTGGGCTAGATCTTTAAATCTACTTGGGTAGCTGTTGTTTCTTAAATAGAGAGAGGCGTCGGTGGCAGACTATCTCGGCAAAGCAAGGGTGATCATGGAAGATCTTGCAATCACTGGTCAATTGGTCTCAAAGGATGAATTGAATTCGTACGTCTTTAGGGGCTTGTGTCCAGAATTCCGCTCCTTAACAACTTCATTATCCACTCATGCGACGCCGGTCACCTTGGAGGAGTTAGTTGATTTTTAGGCGCCCAAGAATTCATCGCCGCCATTGACCTTCATGCTAACAGCAGTTCTGGAGATCCCTCGACACAGCCAGCTGCCTTTGTCGCTAATAGAGGAGGCGAATAGAATCGTTTTTATAGTAATTCCCGCTGTAGAGGTGGACAGCAGTGAGGTGGTGTGGGTTACCATGCAGGACATCGTCGAGGTGGACAACAACAACGAGGCAGGGGGCAGCTTGGACGTGGCTCCTTCCTTCGCTACCAAATCTGCAATGGAAGTGGTCACTCGGCCATTAATTGTTATTCCGGTGCTCCAAGTCCCCAAACACATTTCGTGTTTCAGGATGGTGCTTCGGATGTATCTCTTGGTTCTCATACGTGGTTTCCGGACACTGGGCTACGAATCATGCTACCCTAGACATAGCAACTATTTCTACCTCAGAGGAGTACACTAATAATGACACTGTAACACCCCTAAATTTTAAAATATTTAAAAATTATGGAACAAAGGCAAATCTATTATTAATTCCCAAACAAAGCATAAACTAAGCGTGATAGTCGGGGTGCTATGCCACACCTGAGCTAGAGAACTCAGATGCACAGGCTAAACTAACTAACAAAGTCTAATTAATATCCAAATATAAATCAAGGCGTGCAAGCCATCTTATTAAAGCTGGAATTATCTAAAATATGTCCACGAATCCAACTAGCGCCGCTCCGAAGCTATTCAACTGATCCTGAAAAATATTCAGTGTAACAACCGTTAGCGAATAATGCTGGTAACCCACTCAAACGCGTTAAGTACAATATAGGTAGATATAAGAAACTCATTTTGAAACTGGAATATATATATATATATATATATATATATATATATATATATATATATATATATATATATATATACTTACGAGACTCTAATTTAAATCCAAGATCAAGACTCAAAACATATTAACAGACTCAATAGTATAGAATAATCATAAGGACTAACATGCATCCTAAGAACACAATACAAGGCATAACGGACTGATAAGCATATAAATAACAACTAGAGGCAATGAAGGCATTCAAGACAATCAATTAGCAAGTAGTCATCAAAG